ATCCCTTTTAAAATAAATCAGGTCTTGCTAAGGTCAGTCTTTTCCTTTAAATTGTCATCAATCTCTACTAAACTTAGGCTTGGGTCTTTATAACTATTTCCTACCTTACAGGTTTCTTTATTTAAATTTTCATAGGTTATTAATTTCTCTTTGGTGTCTAGATGACAGGCTAATTAGTTAACTTGAATTGCATATTTAACCTTTTGATAGGTGCTCAAATAAGGTCAAAATCAGTCAAGCCTCTAGTAGGACACATGGGCCATTTTTGACAAGGAACAGTTGGGGACTGAATCTGCATGGGTATGTGTGTGTGTGTCTGTGTGTGTGTATCCGAGAGAGAGAAAGAAAGCAGAGAGAGTGACTGAGTGACTACTTCGAGGAAGCAATGAAGAATATGGCTTGGTAGTTTGATTAAACACAAATTATGAAAGTCAAACTGAGTAGTTCAAATCTCTTACACTAAGTCCACACCAGTTCATACATGAGGGGATGGCACTACAGTTCGTGATTCCTCTTGGCCACCAAGGAGACTGAACACAGAAAGACGAGCTATGGAAACACTTCAGGTTTTTAGTGAGAAGCCTTGGTATTGTTTAGAAGTAAGGTTAAAAAGTAAGGGAAAAATAAAAGACACATTTTGAAGAAGTTGCTCAGACAAGATGTCATATTAAATATAAAGTTTGAAGGAGAAGGAGCCACAAGTGAGTCCAGGGTGCCTTGGGGAATGGACAGAGCCAAGGAACCACTTCTTGAGTGACATACACCTGTGCTTTCTCTCTGTATCCTTGGAAATACATCTTAAGGTCTTATTCTTGAAAGATTTTGGGGTGAGAAGCCCTTCCATTCTTTGTCGTGGGACTAAAAACACTGAGAATTAAAGAAAAATATAAATGAAAGTCATTATCGCCCAGGCACGGTGGCTCATGCCTCGAATCCCAGCACTTTGGGAGGTCATGGCAGGTGGATCACTTGAGGTCAGGAATTCCTGACCAACCTGGCCAATATGGTGAAACCCCGTCTTTACTGAAAATACAAAAAATTAACTGGGCATGGTGGCATGTGCCTGTAATCTCAGCTACTCAGGAGGCTGAGCAGGATAATCACTTGAATTCGAGTGGCGGAGGGAGGCTGCAGTGAGCCAAGATCAGGCCCCTGTACTCTAGCCTGGGTGACAAAGTGAGACTGTCTCTCAAAATAAATAAATAAATAAAAAGAAAAAAAGAAGTCATCATCATTGTATTTTCATTGTAGCATAACAGAAAATGCCATTATGATTTCTAGAATAGTGAAATTCTGGGATTATTCTTTGCTAGCAATACAACTGAAAAAGGAAGATATTAAAAAAGAGCAGATGATTGAATGCAAGTTGTGCCTATCATCTTTTTCCCTGACACTTTGAATATTATGACTTAAGTGAGCTTGCCATGATTATTGATTGAGGACCTATTCTGTGAAAGTCTGGAGCTTTGTGATGAAATATAAACAGATGCGGCATGGACAATGCCCTGCAGGAATTTGTACAATTAGTAAACCTAGAGGTAGAGAATAAGCCAGAGCATCCTAGTCAGGGAACAAAGAAAGCTCTGTGACAGGTTTTCATCCTTGAATAGCTCCCATCTTTTCTGAAAATCTTACAGACTTTTCTGGCATTCTGCATTAGTCAAGAGGTTTTGTTTCCAAATGGCAGAAAGCAACCTAGCCTCAACCTGGCTTTGAGAAAAAAATGGAAATTTATTAGAAGGGCTGTGGGATATCCAAACTTATTGCACAAGTTGAGAAATCAGATTGGGAGAATGGCAGGGATGCAGCTAGACTTCAGAGGTATCTGGAAGCAGTTAATCCAAGGACATTACC